GTCCTTTCCAGTACATGAGGGCTCTGCGGCCGACAGATCCAAAGATCAACCCTAATGTGCGCGATCAGGTCCAAGTCCAATCCCGAGTCGTATCAGCCACGCTCAATATTCCCGCCCACAGACCCATGGAAACGTATCCGCTCCAGCCTCGAGCACACAGAAACCACCTTGTGGCCAAGCCCAGGAGCTTTGACTTGAGCCTGAGGATTCCTTTTGCTCAGTCTCGTGATGGTGCTAATCCTCCTCGGTACAGACCAAGCGGCTTTATTATTGACAACAGTTTTAATAATCCCGGCAGACGCCATGGCCATGACGCTTCCAAGCTGGGCTACCAGTTCAGCTTATCCTTTCCCTTTTCACGAGGTTCTCCACGCCGCCAGGAACATCACGGCGGACATCGACACAGGCCTGAGGAAGCTGATTTGGGTCACCAAAGACCGCAAGTTTATGTGCCGCCTCATACAAGGCCGCACCCCAACGAGCAGCAGCAGCATCATCATCATCGTGAGCATCATCATCGTGAGCATTTCATCATCGTGACGAAGGCCGCCCTGGTCGGGTCTCTGCATTTCCGGAGCCAGATGGACTGGAACGCCCATCAAGGCCGCGCCATCCTCAGAGATATGTCGACCCTTACAGTGGCTACTACAACTCCCACATGAATCCTATGTGGAACGACTACTGGTGGTATTACCATGGACCTCACTGGGGTCATGTAAAGCATCCATCTTCTGACCCTTGCCAAATTTTCCATCGGTCAGCTTCAGACTGACATGGATGGAAGAGACGAGCAAACTCGCAGGGCTCAGGTGGGTCACTGGTTTTTGGATATTACAACATGGCATTTCTTGATGGTTAAAACCTGTTCCTCATATTTCTTCCTCCTCCACAGCTCTACAGTGCAACAAGGATCTCCTGTATTTATCTAAAATAAAGTGTGAAAGCTCTCCTGCAGTTTCTCTCGTCTTCTGTCAGGTTGAAAGAATAGCTGAACATTTGGGTTGAGGTTGATCTTTAGAGCTAATGACATTCATGTGTTTGCAAGCAAGAAGCAACAAGTCTATGCCCGAATATTAAAAGCCACTGACTCTGCAGCTCACTAAATATTTGGGTGATGTACATTTTGAACTGTATCTAGAGATGCAACTGAGCCCAGTATTTCACAATTATCGCAGGCTTGACACAAAATCAAGTGTCCCGTCTTTGAGCCAACTCTAGCCCTCACTTTCACTAGAGCTGCCATTTAAAAGTCCCCGAGAGTGAATCAGACGTTCCATCCTTCAGTAGTTGCTTGCATACAAACTTGAAATGGTTTTGGAACTTTAGTCGAGTGCCTGTCATAAGATTTTAATATTGCTACTCCTTAATCCAGTGCATCATTGTGGAAGAACTGTAAAATGGTTCTACTTCAAGTATTCTGTGCTGGCTGACAGTGGGGCTGATGGTAGGGGAGTGGCAGAACATCTGTAAAGATGTGTTTGAGGGTTTTGTTAAAAGCTGAACCTCCAAGGTTTGCAAAAGTCAATAGCAATGCACAAAACACAAAGTCCATCATTTTTCAAATAAGTTTCTTTAAAGAGGTTGAAGCACAGCAGTGACGCATCACAGCATAAAGGAAATGTGCAACAGACTAGAAAAATGCAGCAGTGCACTGGCACAATGAACGTCCACTAGGTGACAGGTACGTGCTCTGCAAGAGCAATCGCCTAAAACATGTGTTTGAAGGAACCGGTGAGCAGAAATTGAATTGTATGTTGGTGCTCTGTTTTGCAGAGAGCAGCAGGTTTCTCCAGAATGTGAGATCTACCTGGAACATCAAAAAAAAAAAAGCAGTGGGGCTCTTATGGCTTTGGTGCACTGACGCCAGTAGTCTACAATGGGTTGTTTCAAAGGTTTCCACATCTCAGCCAACAACTGAAACAGTATTTTATTAAGCTGATGACATCTGAACCTCAGTGGTACAAGAGGCTCCTCCCACCAGTGTGTGGGTGTGTCTCAGTGTCAGAGAAGCTTTAAATGCAGAGAGAGAGAATGGCAAGACTTTTATACACATTTCCCCTCATGATTGCTCTTGAAGGCCACAGCATCCATAAATATTATTTTTCATCTCTTGCTATAGAGGATTATAGCTGCTATAAAGCAAACAAATTAACAATGAACTTAGGAAAAACTGATTATGGAAACTTTGTCCACTTCCATTCACTACTGTTCACTTCTTTCATGTTGGTTTTGGACTGTAGATCAATAAAGTTGTTTAGCTTGACTGTTTTGTTCTAACTGCAGCCACGATCTAATGTTGCCACCAAATGGCCAAAGGAGACTGTTCTACTCCAGCCTCCACCACAGAAGAAATATCAATCCCCAAAGCCCAAAAGCTATGAATTTGGTCTGAGAATTCCTTATTTTGATCTTTTGGTCAGAAATGAGAGGGGATTTGTCCAGTGAAGGACGTGATGGTGGAAATGATAAGATAAGATAAGATAACCTTTATTAGTCCCACACGTGGGAAATTTGTTTTGTCACAGCAGGAAGTGGACAGTGCAAAAGTTATGAGCAAAAATTAGAATACAAGAAGAATAATACAGTACACACTGTACAGAATAGAATAAAATACTATATACAGTAGAATAAAATAAATAAATATACAATAAGATAAAAATAGAATACGAATGCTATATACAACTGAGTAAAAATACAACGATGACAGAAAGGATTATTGCACTTAGTATTATTGCATATGTATGGATGTGTGTGCTTGATCAGTTAAAGTCTTTATTATGGAGTCTGACAGCAGTGGGGAGGAAAGACCTGCGAAATCTCTCCGTCCCACACCGTGGGTGCCGCAGTCTCCCACTGAAGGAGCTGCTCAGTGCTGTCACAGTCTGCTGCATGGGGTGGGAGACGTTGTCCAACAGGATGACAGCTTAGCCGCCGTTCTCCTGTCACTCACCACCTCCACTGGGTCCAGAGGGCATCCTAGAACAGAGCTGGCCCTTCGGATCACCCTGTTCAGTCTCTTCCTGTCCCCAGCAGAGATGCTGCCGCCCCAGCAGACCACACCATAAAAGATAGCAGAAGCCACCACAGAGTCATAGAAGTTCTTCAGGAGTGGGCCCTCCACTCCAAACGACCTGAGTCTCCGCAGCAGGTACAGCCTGCTCTGCCTTTCCTGTAGAGGGCGTCTGAGTTATGAGTCCAGTCCAGTCTATTGTTCAGATGAACACCAAGGTACCTGTAGCTGTCCACAGCCTCAATGTCCATACCCTGGATGTTCAGTGGTTGCAGTGGAGAATGCTTGTGCCTGCGGAAGTCTACCACCAGCTCCTTGGTTTTACTGGCGTTGATCTGGAGGTAGTTCTGCTGGCACCAGTCCACAAAGTCTTGAGTCAGTCCTCTGTACTCCTTGTCGTCCCCATCAGTGATGAGGCCGACTATTGCAGAGTCATCAGAGAACTTCTGCAGGAAGCACTGGGTGGAATTGTGGGAGAAGTCTGCAGTGTAGATGGTGAAGAGGAACGGAGCCAGAACCGTTCCCTGTGGGGCCCCCGTACTGCAGACGACCCTGTCCGACACACAGCCCTGAGTCCTCACATACTGTGGTCGGTCGGTGAGGTAGTCCAAAATCCAGGTAGTGAGGTGATGGTCCACTCCAGAGTTCTCCAGCTTGTCCTTCAGAACCGAGGGAAGAATGGTGTTGAAGGCACTGGAGAAATGCTCCTGCTGTCCCCAAACCAGGTCAAACAGACTTATCTGTTCCCTCTTCATCAGTACAGATATGATTGGATCAAGGCAACCCTTCTTGAACTAGTGCCTCCGAAACACAGGAGCAGACTCATGAGCCAGGTCATGTAAAACCACAAAGTCCCACTCTGCATGAAACAGAAGGCCTTTCTTCAACTGTGAAACCACACTGCAATAGACTTTTGAGCCAAGTAGAAAATGAGTTAAAGAAGGAAAATGAAAGAAAAATAAGATGTTCTTTGTGTACAGGCTGTGATCAGCTGATCTGGGCTACTGCTGCTCTGAGGTTTACTGCTCTTTGTGGATTTACACAACCGAATTTAACAAGATGTCAGCAGGTGTTTTATGAGTTGTACTATTCCATCCTCTACACTGACAGTTTGTTTTTCCGCACGTTTCACAGCATGAAGAAACACGATGTCACATGTACAGATCGGTATCTCATTGAAAACCACGAGGCTTTACATTTGCAGTTGATCAAATCCCACTGAGCAGAGGTTAATGATAACATCTCTTCTTCCTCTCCTGTCCTGTCTTTCTTATCTTTCTCCATCTGTGAGTGAAGTTAGCTCTCTTTCTTTTGTCTCCCTGTGAAATACAATAGCTGGGCCTTCAGCTGCAGCACGCTGTGTCACAGTCTCACTGTGTTTGCTGATGTTTGTTGAGCTGACAGAAACGCTGCATTTGAAATTACCTGACACTGAAAAACTTTTACTCCCTTTATTTGTGTTTTCTTACTTCAGCGTGAAGCATGACTAGCAGTTTTTATATGTAAATGTCATAAAGATAATCACATTATTTAAAGGTTTATGAGAAACCAACCCTTCAGGTTTCTCAACCACGTGAGTGAGCAGTGAATCAGCCAGATCCAACCCTCACTGATCACGTTCAGTTTCCAAACACCAAGAGCTGGTCGTGAGAAATACTGAACTTAAGGGTTCAAGACGGGTTGGGGACATCACAGAGGCTACATTTATCTTCAATATGGGATCATCGTTTTTTACTGTGGCTCCTGATGTCAATACAAGGCCTTTAAAAAAATGTGTGCAAGGTGTATAAAATTATAAAAGAAAGAAAACCCCACTATAATACAGCTCTGCACTTAGACAATCAGGTCAGAAGTTGAAATCAAATGTGTTCTTATTGTCCACATCCTCTCTGGGGCATAGATTCAATCATTCTAACGTCTCAGCCGGCCAATAAAATCAAGTGTTTGCACCTGTGTGAGGCAGAGTTTGCTTCAGCCCAACTTTTCATTAGGAAGATGGAAAAGACACACACAGACAGCCGCGTGGCTTGGATGCTCGACTTTGAGTCTCGTGGGTGTTTGGTTGGAGGAGCTGGAAGTTGGGCTTTCTGGATCCACGGCTGACAGGGCAGCTGTGCTGCACAGTCCAGCTCAGCGCTCGCAGCTGTGAGGACACAGCGACTGCAGCAGTCATGGCTGCTGGCTTCCTAATTGCAAGGTAACACATTAAATATGAAACCAAATGGGTTTTATTAGGTCCATTTTATTTACTTGAGTCTATGTTTGTCTGGGTCTACCTTGACTGTGTATTTGTAACTGTTTAACAGATTATTGCTGGTCTGTTTGTTGAGTGAGGTGAACTACTCCTCAGCTTTTCCAAGAGGTAAGCCTGACTCATCTCCTGCTGTTTGGAAATGGGGCTAAAACTCTTCTTGTAAACAAGAGAATGGGCCTTTGTTAAAATACCTGTGTTACTATAACTGAAGAGTCCTGCAAATTAAACCCTGTTAAGCTTTGATTCGTTAGCAACAATTTACCAGCTCCCCTAATTAAAGTGAGACCAAACACTAGGCCTACGATCTGATACACAGCACTGACAATTCAGGGTGGTGTTTTAGGGAAACTGCACTGCTTCATTCACGTTGGCTTCATCTGCAGACTTACAGGCACAAGATGGCTCTAAAATTCTAGAATATTCTAGCAGCTCTCAACCAAACCGCGGTTATTAAAGTGTGCTTTAATATGTATAGTGATGTAAGAAATCTCCATAAGAAATCTGACCTATGTCCTGTTTCTTTTTTTTTTCCAACCCTGCACAAATCAACAAAGAGCCATAACAATTTGCAAATGCAGGGGAATGTCTATAAAGGGGTCTCGAGGTGGCACTCTTCTTCAGTCCTGAAATGTAATTTTTACAATCTGAGTCTAATAAGAAATATATGCTATTAACTTTTCAAATGTATGTGGTCTTAAAACAGGACAGTGTTCAGGGTATGTTTGCAGCATTCTCACGCTATGGAGTTCTTGTGTACTGGATCTAGATGCTGTCTCCACACTATATGAAATGCAGTTGGTATAAAATGAGTTGTCCTGTGCTTCATCTTATGCTGCTTAAATTGTTTCACAGGGAACTAGACGAGCCTTCTTTAAGCCAACTGTCAGGCCGGTTTATTCGTCACGACGCTCCTTTGTTGTCATTTGCAAAACACCGTAACAACACTTGGGTGCAGTCGGGAACTGTTTCTGTGCTGCTAATCATGAATTATGAAGTCCATTAATTCAAATTAGATTGTTGAGATTCTAGAGACGTGTTGAAAATAGATTTTTAATGTCTAAATTTTACTACTTCTTTCTAACCTTTATTTAACCAGGAAGATCCCATTGAGATTAAAAACCTTTTCCATGGATGGGCAGCAGCAAGTTACAAGTCACAGTTACAGAAATTACTGTTAAACACAGACGGCAACAACACAAATGCAAAATTAAATGAAAAGAATAAAATTAAGATAGAAAAAAAATTTTAAAAATCAAAGGAAAATACAAAAATTCAGTTAAAATGACAATCTAATTGAAGCAATTGCATGTTATGGACTTGGCCTCAGGGATTCTTAGTTAGCACTTAAGTGCTTTATGAAATAATTCAGTGTTTTTCCAGTCGTTCTGCAGTTTGTTCCAAGCCAAGGGTGTTAAATGTCTGTTATATAAAACTGTATAAATGAGAGTTCCTCCGACTTGCCGAAGCAGGCCATCCTACCCGAGAGTATAACTCGTGTTGAGTCTGAGATTTACGGTTAGTGATGAACCTCAGTGAAGTATGCTTCACTATCAACCATTCGAAGACATTGAGCAGAAGCATTCATGTATAGGATATCTCCATAACCCAGCACAGGCAAAAATGTTGCATTTAAAAGCAGATTCTTTATATTGTAAGAAAAACAACTTATTTTGAAAATAAAATCTGTTTTAACTTCAGATTTTTCACGAGATTCTCTACATGTGGTTTGAAGGTGAGCGCTGTGGCACTCCGTTGTGCACTGTAACAAATTCAGACCATCAGATTTAATGCACTGAGACAGTTTGAGAACCATGCCACTGCTCTGAGTCCTGACTGGAGGAGTCTAAGTTTTAAAATACAATGATCAACAGTGTCTAATACGTTTGACAAATTAATAGAAAGGGACGCACAGTGTTGTTTCTTATCAAGTGCAACAGTAATATTATTTGCCACTTTCACTGCAGCTGTGATGGTACTGTGATTTATTTATTTTCTTCCTCTAAAGCCTGATTGATCAGATAAAACGGCATTGGTGTGTAGAAACTAACTGCTCGCACACACGAGCTTCAAGAACTGTGGCACAGGACAGATTAGATATTGGTCTATAATTAGTAAAAACTGCTGGGTCACCCACTTTTAGTAGAGGGATAACAAAAGTTGATTTTCATACTGAGGGAATTTGATTCAATTCAACTTTATTCATATAGGAAAGAAAAACTCCCTTTTAACAGGAAGAAACTTAATTTATCCCAAATTGTGATCATATCCATCCTGGGTATCAAACTGCACACATTAAGATGAATAATCTTCAGCCGAGGTGAGGATTTAAATTCAGATGGTGTTTGACTGCATTGCAGCTCAGGGCCTGGTCTAGGTTGAACATCACCAGATAAGAGCAGTATTAAGACAATCAGAAGTCTCTGCTTTGAGACTTTGAGTTTGACTTGTGAAATGTTGAAACTAAGCAGAATTTTTCTTAACTTTGTAATCATACAAAACAAGAAGGTTTTGAAGATGAGGTAAATCTTTGTGTAGATCAAATGAAAAATCCGTGTGCTATTCCAAATACATTGGAGATCGTACAGGATGTACAGCAGCAGTGATGATATAGATCTGGGATCATGTTAAATGTGCTTGACTTAGAAAAATTCAGTGTCCCAAAGTCCCCCACAGCCAATAAGCAAAGTTATTTTAAAAAGTAATTATCCAAAACACACGACTATTGTTGATACTGAATTAAATGTATCATCAGGCTGCAAAGACCTAGGATGGCAAGTAAGGCTCCAGCCAGAAGCTCATGTCCTGGTGGCTTGCTAGCAGATGGCTTCTGGCATCTGCTTGGCTTCTGCTTGCTAGCAGATGGCTTAGTGTGCTGTCGATAGGTCCAGCCAGCAGCACAGGCCCCGGTGTGGTGCAGACGGTTTCTGGTAGTAGCAGAGGCTCCCAAAATGGGCCACTTTCCAAGAACTAACAGAATAGTTTAAAATACCCTTAAAATACCTTGTTGGAAAAACACTAGAATCCATTTAAAATAGTAAAAACAGAAAAATACCCAACAAATTCAAAGCAGACATTCAACAAGGAGACATGCTGCAGCCATCTTGGTCAGTGGTCTTGCCATGTAATCTTGCAGAATACATTACAATGTAATATTTACATTAACCTTCACCTGTTTTCTTTCATAGCCAGAAGTTTTGTGCAACCGAGAGTGTGGCAAAGTGAAGGAGAGGAAGAAGCCTACAACTATGAGAACTGTCATCCTTTCTACTACATCAGTGCCCAGGACAAAACATTGGAAAAGCAGGGACGTTTAATGATGGCCCCTTTCCATATCTGTAAACAAAACCATCCCATAGTGTACCAAAAAGCCTCAAACCTCAAGCCTGCAAACCCCTTGCAGCCACGATCTAATGTTGCCACCAAATGGCCAAAAGAGACTGTTCTACCCCAGCGTCCACCACAGAAGAAACATCTGTCACCCAAACCCAAAAGCTACGAATTTAGTCTGAGCATTCCATATTTTGATCTTTCGGTCAGACATGAAGGGGGAGATTTGGCCAGTGAAGGACATGATGGTGGAAATGATACCGCTCCTGTCTCTAAACCAGGCTTTCAAATCGACTTATCTGTTCCCTCTTCATCTGTCTCTCAATATCCCAATATCCCAATGACCAGCTATGTTGACAGTTCAGTAAATCAAGAAAATCCAGAGAACACAGAGTTTGTCAATTACGGTAACATAAAGCAGGAAATGCCACAATCAAGGCAACCTTTCTTAAACTCTGCTGGTAGTAGTTACTCAGAAACACAGGAACCGGCTTATAAACCATATTCCATCGAAACACAATCAAGTTCAACTCTTACTGGATCAGAAAGACCTTTTCTACATTTTCAAACACAGGAGCAGACTTATGAGCCAGTTCATGTTAAACCACAAAGCTCCACTCTGCATGAAACAGAAAGGCCTTTCTTCAACTTTGAAACAACACCACAACAGACTTTTGAGCCAAGTCGTGTTAAACCCCAGTCAAGTTCACCAATAACTGGATCAGAATGGCCTTTCTTTAACTCTGCAGCAACAGAGCAACAGACACATGAACCAGGTTATCTTAGACCTCAATCAAGTTCAACCCTTGGTGGATCAGAATGGCCTGCCTTAAACTTGGCACCTCCCTGGCAACAATCCTTTGAGGCAGGTCATCTTAAGCCTCAAGCAAGTTCAGCAATAGCTGGATCAGAATGGCTGGTCTTCAATTCGGCACCACCCTGGCAACAATCCTTTGAGGCAGATGGTCTTGAGCCTCAATCAAGCGCAACCCTTGGTGGATCAGAATGGCCTGCCTTAAACTTGGCACCTCCCTGGCAACAATCCTTTGAGGCAGGTCATCTTAAGCCTCAAGCAAGTTCAGCAATAGCTGGATCAGAATGGCCTGCCTTCAATTCGGCACCACCTCGGCAACGAACCTTTGAGCCAGGTCGTGTTAAGCCACAGTCCAGTTCAGCAATAGCTGGATCAGAATGGCCTGCCTTAAACTCAGCAGCAACACAGCAACAGACTCATGAGTCGGGTTATCTTAAACCACAATCAATTCCAGCCCTTGGTGGATCAGAATGGCCTGTCTTCAATTCGGCACCACCTCGGCAACAATCCTTCGAGGCAGCTGGTCTTAAGCCTCAATCACGTTCAACCCTTGGTGGATCAGAATGGCCTGCTTTAAACTTAGCACCAATTCAGCAACAGACTCATGAATCAGGTTATCTTAAGCAACAATCAAGCTCAACCCTTGGTGGATCAGACTGGCCTGTCTTCAATTTGGCACCGACTCGGCAACAAACCTTTGAGGCAGATGGTCTTAAGCCTCAATCACGTTCAACCCTGGATGGATCAGAATGGCCTACCTTAAATATGGCACCAACTCTGCAACAGGCTTCTTTACACAGGAACTAACTCAGTGTCAACTCTGTTCAATCTGTGCACAAAGGTTATTTTACTTTTGGAGCGCATTTCTGCCAAGACTAACTCACCATGCAAATAAATACACAATTTCCTTCTTGCATCTGATGTCATTTATATTTTTATACGTTTACTCATACATCTCTAGTCCCTTTAGGGCAAAAATAACTTGGTATTCACTTATATTTTCTAAAATGTCCAATAATAGTTTTAGAAATCTTTAACATTTGATAGGACTTCTGTAGTTGCCTTCTACAAAGATATTTGACCACCAGCAGGTTGCTTTGCCAGAAATGTTGTTACCTGTGTAGTAAGAAATGCAGTGTTTGATCTTACATCAGGGCCTGCTGTTTCTGTGTTTAAATAGTGATTCTATATTGGTGTTGGGTGTGGATACCAGAGTGCCTTATTACAGCTAGAATGGGTCCAACTCCCTCACTTACTTTTATAACTGGTAAGATAAGAATAGAAGGATGACAGGATAAAGACATGCTGTGGAAGAGAGACAGAGATTAATGACAAGTATGATTCAAGGAGGTGTATTAACACATAGTGAGTGAAGAACTATCAACCAATGCATCATGGGAATCCCCCAGCAGTCTACATCTATTGCAGCATAACTGAGGATTCAGGGTCACCTGGTCCAGCCCTAACTATATGCTTTAGCAAAAGAAAGTTTGAAGCCTAATCTTGAAAGTAGAGATGGTGTCTGTCTCCTGAATCCAAACTGGAAGCTGGTTCCATAGAAGAGGGGCCTGAAAACTGAAGGCTCTGCCTCCCATTCTACTTTTAAATACTCTAGGAACAACAAGTAGGCCTGCAGTGTGAGAGCAAAGTGCTCTAGTAGGGTGATATGGTACTACAAGGTCATTAAGATAAGATGGGGCCTGATTATTTAAGCCAATGAAGGGAAGCCAAAACAGGAGAAATCTGCTCTCTCTTTCTAGTCCCTGTCAGGACTCTTGCTGCAGCATTTTGGATCAGCTGAAGGCTTTTCAGGGAGTTTTTTGGACATTCTGATAATAATGAATGTGGTGGGGCGTGGTCTGCGGGGCCGTGCGGACGCACCTGCACGGCATCCGCAATCACGCCCGCCGTGTTAAAACACGGGGACTCAGGGGTTGGTGGTGGTGTGGTGTGACGTGAATCAAATAAAGTTGGCTCTGAACGTCGCTCCGTGGTCCCGCCGTGCCTTATTCATGCCACAATGAATTACAGTAGTCCAGCCTGGAAGTAATAAATGCATGAACTAGTTTTTCAGCGTCACTCTGAGACAGGATATTTCTAACTTTAGAGATGTTGCACAAATGAATGAAGGCAGTCCTACATATTTGTTTAATATGTGCATTGAAGGACATGTCCTGGTCAAAAATGACTCCAAGGTTACTCAGTGTTACTGGAGGCCAAGGTAATGCCATCCAGAGTAGGAATCTGGTTAGATACCATATTTCTAAGCTTTTCAGGGCCGAGTACAATAACCTCAGTTTGATCTGAATTAAGAAGCAGAAAGTTAGCGGCCATCCAGGTCTTTATGTCTTTAACACATTCCTGCAGTTTAACTCATTGGTGTGTGTTATCTGGCTTCATGGACAGATAGAGCTGGGTGTCATCTGCATAGCAGTGTAAATGTATGCTATGTCTTCTAATGATACTGTCTAAGGGAAGCATGTATAGTGTAAACAGAATTGGTCCTAGCACTGAACCCTGTGGAACTCCATAATTGACCTCAGTGTGTGAAGAGGACTCTCCATTTACATGAACAAACTGGAGTCTATGGCTACGTTCACACTGCAGGCGAAAGCGCATCAAATCCGATTTTTTGGACCCTATGCGACCCATATCCGATCATGGTATGACAGTGTGAACGGCACAAATTCGATATTTTCAAATCCGATCTGGGTCACTTTCGTATGTGGTACTGATTCCGATACATATCCGATGTTTTAGAAAGCGACTGCTGTTTGAACGGTCATGTCGCATTAAATCAGTCTTTTACGTCACTGACACAAGACAGACGCCAATTATCAGTTCTGGAGAAGACATCGCGAACGCTTCCTGGCCAATAAGTGTAGATGTTAGTGAAACTGTTGGGAAGACAACGTTGGGGAAACGTGAACATTTTACTTTCACGTATATTTTATGTACTGTATAATCTGATTCGTTTAATTCTAAAGTCCGAAGTCTTTATATTAAGGCCCATCAGTCAAACAATATGGTTTGCTCTGGGTGTACAGAGCGTGTTGTGTGTGACGTCTTCTTTTGCGCATGCGGGCCGCTTTGAGCGTTCACACTAGAGCGCGTTTGCTGTCGCATTTTATTTGTAGTGTGAACAAGCAGACACAAAAATCGGATTTGATCAAAAAATCTGAATTGAGCATTAACACCTGCAGTGTGAACGTAGCCAAATAGATAGATATGATACAAACCACTGCAGTGCAGTACCTGTAATACCTACAGCATGTTCTAATCGCTCTAATAGGATATTATGGTCGACAGTATCGAATGCTGCACTGAGGTCTAGCAGGACAAGCACAGAGATGAGTCCACTGTCAGAGGCCATAAGAAGATAATTTGTAACCTTCACTAAAGCTGTTTCTGTGCTGTGATGGGCTCTGAAACCTGACTGAAACTCTTCAAATAAACCTCTGCAGATGATCTGTTAGCTGTTTGACAACTACTCTTTCAAGGATGTTTGATATGAAAGGAAGGTTGGAGATTGGCCTATAATTAGCTAACTCAGAAATATCAATTGGAGAAAAAGACTCTAAATGTTGCATCTGTGAGATGATTATGGGTAATTTTTTCTCTAATTCTTAAAATTTTATTTGTGAAGATGTTAATGAAGTCATTACTTGTTAACGTTAAAGGGATAGTTGGCTCAACAAACGCGTTACTGTAATCCGATTACTTTTTTCAAGTAACGAGTAAAGTAAGGGATTACTATTGCAAAAACGGTAATTAGATTACAGTTACTTTCCCGTAGGAATGCTGCATTACTAAAACCGTGAGTTTTTTGCGAGAATGTCTCATGACAGTGACGTAAGCAGGTGTGATGTTCGTGACAACAGCTGTGTGCATTTAAAGCGTGGAAGTACTGACCTTATTTTGAGTTTGATTCCATAAAAACTGACAAAAACATTAGCGTTCGTCCGGCGTGGGAAGAAAACTTCTTTCTACAGCGAAAAAAACCCTAAACTTACGAGCAAGCACCAAGTGCGCAACGACGTAATGGGAAATTCACAGAGAAACTCGCGGATTCTTCAACTGACCGCTGCGGCACACCTGCACCAGGGCAAATCTCCGCCTGCCCCACTCCTAGAGCAACAGGACCGCTAGTCTTTGATTTTATATATTTTCTGCTGTGTTTCACTTGCATCTATTTGTGTGTAAACACAAAAAAATATTTTATTTTATAGTAGTATTTATTTATTGTCATTGTCAAGAACAATGAAATTGATTGTTCTTGACAATGACAATAAATAAATACTGGAATGTGCAGAAAATAGGTTTAACCTCTGATGCATGAATTATGAAAGCTTGGTCAAGATTTTTTTCTTAATGCTTTTATTCTTCTCAGGACATGAAAAAAATGTTTAACTCTTTTTTTTCAAAATATGTTTTTTTATAAAGTTATAACTTGTCCATCCAGTGACTACATGCGCTGAGCATTAGCATGAAATACTGTGAATTTACTGTAAAAATTAATTACTTGTGTTCTATTGTAAATATACAAAACTTGTTTGCTTGTATCCTTTGAAAACATCTCAGCAATTTTTTGAACTTCAACTCATAAGGCCCCAATGTTTAGACGTAAATAACAAAACCAATCAACAGTCCTAGCTATGAATCCTACACCTGAATATGGCAAACTATCTCCAACAAGAGAAACATTTTTGAGTCTACACAGTTCTATAACGATGCAGGACAGTATTACCAAGCCCTTAGTAGCATGCTGGAAGAAAACACAAACTGACATCTTAGTCTCTGCATCTCCAAACAGTTCTATGTTCATCACACCTAGGCTGTGCGAAAGTTTGCAACGCATCCAGGGCACAATGGCACACAGCATTGCATGCAGATGTATTTGGTCTTCCGTGTGCACACAACATCATGGCACCTGTTTGCATTTTTCACCTCGGTCAGTTGGGGCCAGTGATATCCTGTGGCAAACCTGACCTCACAGGCTACTTTGGTGACTGCTCTCCACTTCACGGGTTGTGGGGTCCCACTGGGTCTTCCTCTTTTGCATTGCTGGAGGGAGAATCTCTTCTCTTGTTACTGACAGTTCTTTCCCATACAAGTTGGTGTTGTATGTTATATTATCAATTAGATCTGCTGGAAACAGATGTCTGAAGAAATCTATGGGATCCTTCCCTCCACATTCAATTTCCACTCTCCTAGAAAAGGAGGCAAGTCTCCAACCAAGTCATTGTCTTGGACTTTCCAAATATTTTTGCGGGCTTGAGTATGGTCAGGTGCCATGTACCCATCTCCCACAGCTCCCTGATCATACTGACCTTCCTTTTCATCCTGCCCCTCATCGTTCTCACTTTCTGCATCCTGACTGTCTGTGTCTTCATCATCCGTAGTTCCTATGTCTCTGTTCTGCTCTGGCAGCCACTCTCATCATCACTGGACTTATCACTGAACTCCTCATCACTGCACTCATCAATGAAATCATCATCACTGGAGCTGGATGGAATTTCCTGGACTATTCTGTACGCTGCCTTATTCTTTGCTGCATTTGAAGTCTACAAAATATGATAAAATAATTATTATAGTAACTCAAACTACAGCTGATCTGCACAGAAATATATATTTTAAATGAGTAGCTTATAAATGTAACAATTATATGCTTAATTATAACCAAAACAGTCCCAAAAAACAGTGAGACAATTTATGACTTATGTTAAAAAATATAGTGGGTAATGCATGATGTCCACTACAGTGGACACATGGTTAATTGTAGTTTTCTACATATTAGACATAACAATTTCTTATTCCAAACAGATAATATCCTTCCCTAGATGTTACTGCATATCATCATATTTTTTTTACCTGTTGGGCTCTTTTAGCATAGAAGGTTTGACAGGATATGCCAGCAGTGGTCGGCAGGGGTGACAGTTTGTCTGCCATCTTTGATTCAGAGGAAATTTACTTGCAGTTGCACTAACTGAACACTGAATTGACCTCAATGGAGCATGGCAGCAGAGAGCACTCTAGAGGCTAATATGCAGTTCCACCATAGAAACCAATGCATTAAAGAGATATGTACGTTTTAGTAGCTGTCCACTCCAGTGACACTATGCATCAGAGGTTAAATGTTAAACAAATTTCTTCCAGTCAGAGAATGTTGCATTTAATTACATTTTTGCTTGATGCATAAAGTTAAAAGATTAAAACTAATAAAACAAATTTTAAAAAGGAACTTTTCCATTTGTTTACATTTTGTATGATGGATTATGCAGAAAAAGTAGAATTGGGCTGAAAATTCTCTCGCTTTATCACCCATTCAGGTTGTAATTCGTGTTTTTAAAAAGTAACTAAGTAACTAAGTAATTAATTACTTTTGAAAATAAGTAATCAGTAAAGTAACGGGATTACTTTTGGGGGGAAGTAATCAGTAATTAGTTACTGATTACTTTTTCAAGAAACTTGACCAACACTGCTCAAAAGAGCTCTGACTTTTTGTCAGCCTGGCTACAGTGCTGAAGAGAAACCTGGGGTTGTTCTTATTTTCTTCAACCAGTGATGAATAGTAAGATGTTCTGGCTTTACAGAGGGCTTTCTCATAAAGCAACAAACAGTTTCTCCAGGCTAAATGATGATCTTCTAAATTTGTGCTGCGCCATTTCCTCTCCAACTTACAAGTTATCTGCTTTAGGCTACACAGAAACTACACAGAAAACTCTGTGTAAGGCCCAGGTGGACGATAGATGATAACAAGTAAGACTGGTTTCTGAGTTTTACAGCTGGGGTGGACGAGGCTAAGCATCAGGCTTTCAAATGAATTAAAAGTCTGTCTGGGTCTTTGGTTGATTAATAAGCTGGTGTGGAAATTTGCTGCCACACCTCCCCCTCGGCCTGTGCTTCGAGGTTTCTGGTAGTTAGAATGACTCGGGGGTGTTGATTCATTTAAACTAACATAATCATCCTGCTGCAACCAGGTTTCTGTAAGGCAGAGTAAATCGATTTGTTGATCAATTATTAACTCATGTACTAACAGGGACTTGGAAGAGAGAGACCTAATGTTTAATAATCCACATTTCACTGTTTTATTCTTTGGTGCTGTTGAGGATACTGTATTGTTCTTTCTTTGTGATTTTTTTTATGTTTATGTCACAACATCAAGCAGCACTGAGTGGACGAGAGCATCAGGAGGTCGACCCTGTGACCCGGTGCAGAGGGAACGCTCGGCGTTTGTAATGCTGAACAAACAAAACCATGTGGGAGATTCAGTGTCAATGATTCGTACCATCTGAACTCGTGGGGTAACATTTTTGAAAATGCTATAAATACAAAGAAATATAATATAAATGCTCTTTCAGCCACGATGCCACGTCACTGTTTGAAATTGGATTTTTAATCTTAATTAGATGTTTTTACCTGGATAAATAAAGGTACTGTACTGGGATAAGAAATAATAAAGTCCATAGCGTGAAGGCTCTTCTTCTTTAAAGCCTAATGGCAGCTGGTAAACCAACTTAAAGCCACATTACTGCCACCTACTGGAGCGTGGATGGGAAAATAGCAGGAAAAAATAACTATGTTGTCTCCTTCAATCCTGTAACGGGAAGATATTCAAATGAAAGATTTTGTAATTCTGTGTTGCTGTCCTAAACAAATTCCTCAGGTTTCTAAATATAGCCACTAATTTCTTCTCTCTCCCTCACACGTTTATGGGGGAGGGAAGTTGACCTGTTGGGTACCTCAGTTCAACTTCTCATTAAAACAGGCTAATTGGAAACACCTGCAGTAGGAAGGACCTATAAAGACAGCAGCATGTCCTGAACACTTGACTCAGAAGCACACTGGTGTTTGGCTGGAGTAGCTGACAGGGCACCACTGCATGCACAGTCTGGTTGGAGGGTTTGTGAAGACACAGCGAGTGCAGCTGCAGCAGTCATGGCTGCTCGGTTCCTCATTGCAAGGTACCACGTTTAAATGTGCTTTCAAGATCTACACTTCCTGTACTCAAATGTGGACCTTTGTCTGGTTTTATCTTTACTGTATTTGTGCTGTTTGACAGGTTTTTACTGCTTTATGTTTTGAGTGATGTGAACTACTCCTCAGCCTTTCCAGGAGGTGAGCCTTACTTGCATCTTGTTGTTATGAATTTTTTCCAAAGCCTGTAGCAAATAACATTTTCAGCCTGTGCTGAAACAACCTGCTCCACAGTTAAAAAACTATAACAACTTACTGCCTTACCTGAAGAGTCCAGCAAAGTCATGCCTGCACGCAGAACCTGGAGCATCTCTTTAGAAAACACTTAATCATTCTTTAGATTCAAGATTATTGGGGAAAGTATGAAGGCCTTCAGTGGGTACTAAACAGGAGACAAAACAACCTTGGAAACAGCTAATATTCTAGAGCACATAATTAATACATTACAAGTCTTTGAAAGCTGACTGTTAATGCCACTAAATGGGTCTGCAGTCTACCTTTGTAAGGACAACGCAGCCAATGGGCTAAAGTTCTGTCATGTCCAAATCAGCAGGTTAAATTTGGTTTGCTTTGGAAGCAGAGAATTGAAGTGGATAAAATGTATCAGACACTGAGAAATGTCACCAGAAGACTCTAAAGAATTGAATGTTTCTGATGCTAGAGCAACGTTAAACTGGAAATGCTGATTAGATCCAGTGGTGGGACAAAGTATTCCAAACCAAACCAAAAAGCCAGGTTTTCTTCATCTAAACTGGCTTGACAACATCTAAAACGCCAGTTGAAGGTGACTGGTGTTAAGGTTCTTGGTGTTTTGTATGCAGCACATTTCCAACAAAGTGCTTTACAGACTAAAGTGTAAAATGCACAACAATAATAAAAATTTTTAGAATAATAAAATAAAAATATAAAATGATACAATAAGATAAACATCTGCAGCAACAGTGACCAAAGCTGTAAAATTTGATGTTTGGGTCAACATGTGCTGAAAGTCAGTCCATTAAAGCTGTGTCTTTTAGAAACGTAAGATGTTCCACTGTTTGTGCAGATCCAGTATTTAGAGGCAGGGGTGTCCAACTCCAGGCCTCGAGGGCCAGTGTCCTGCAGGTTTTAGATCTCACCCTGTGTCAACACATCTGAATCAAGTGATAGTTCATTACCAGGCCTCTGGAGAACTTCAAGGCATGTTGAGGAGGTAATTGAACCATTTGAATCAGCTGTGTTGGATCAAGAACACATCTAGAACCTGCAGGACACCAGCCCTCGAGGCCTGGAGTTCCCCACGCCTGATTTAGAGGGAGGGGGGCCTGCCACAGAAGGCTCTGTCACAACAAAATTTAAGTTAGACCATGGAATAATTAACACTGGTTTTTAACTTAACCTCATACTTTCAGGAGCCTGAATAGAAGCTCATATGGGTAAGGAGGGGTTTGGTCGTTTTCATGATGTAAAAACACAACTTGGATCCTGTAAGGAAGCCAGTGTAGGGAGGCTAGCACTGGGGTTATGCTCCATCAGTTTGATACCTGTCAGCAGAGAAACTGCTGCATGTTGGCCCACCTGAAAATGGTAAATTGAGGACTGGTCCAAACCAGAAAGTGGAGAGAATCGCACTAGTCCAAACTGCAACTGAATGAAAAGATGGTAACAAACAGCTAAATCCTCTTCATGGCACTGAAAACTAACCCTTTGTAAAGTTTTAAACACAGGGAAATATCTGTTTATGTAAATGCTTTCGGGAAGAAACTGAAATGACTGATTCTAGAATAAAATTTCACTTGCTTGGCCCACGTCGTCATTTTAGGGTTGACAGTGTTTTAGTAGGTAAAGGTGAATGGCTTGGCCAGTTGAGCTGCGGTTTGGGGACCGCAAAGGGTACTGGCAGCAGCTCCCAGGCCTGGCAGATCCCCTGTGTACTAAATAGATGTGAAGAAGATAAAGAATTTTAAAAAGGGGAGGCAGGGTCTGTGCAAAAAGGTTTCTTTAGCTGCAATCATCTGCGTTTCTTGCCGCCTTACAGATTAGGAAACAAATTTTGGTCCACTCAGAGAAGACTTCTGTCAAATTTAAGTCACTTTCCTCCTGTTAAGATAAATGTGCATCAGTATACTGAAAAACTGTAGATGTGGGGTTTTTTTTAGCTTGGTTTAATCTGTATTCTTACCCATGTTCTCTCTCAGCCACAAGTCCTGTGCAGCCTAGAGCGTGGCAGGGTGGAAGAGAGGAACACAATGTGTATGGAAGTCCTCGTCCTTTCCAGTACATGAGGGCTCTGCGGCCGACAGATCCAAAGATCAACCCTAATGTGCACGATCAGGTCCAAGTCCAATCCCCGAGATTGTATCAGCCACGCTCCAATATTCCCGCCCACAGACCCATGGAAACGTATCCGCTCCAGCCTCGAGCACACAGAAACCACCTTGTGGCCAAGCCCAGGAGCTTTGACTTGAGCCTGAGGATTCCTTTTGCTCAGTCTCGTGATGGTGCTAATCCTCCTCGGTACAGACCAAGCGGCTTTATTATTGACAACAGTTTTAATAATCCCGGCAGACGCCATGGCCATGACGCTTCCAAGCTGGGCTACCAGTTCAGCTTATCCGTTCCCTTTTCACGAGGTTCTCCACGCCGCCAGGAGCATCACGGCGGACATCAACACAGGCCTGAGGAAGATGATTTGGGTCACCAAAGTCCGCAAGTTCATGTGCCGGCCCATACAAGGCCGCACCCCAACGAGCATCATCATCGTGATGAAGGCCGCCCTGGTCGGGACTCTGCATTTCCGGAGCCAGATGGACTGGAACGCCCATCAAGGCCGCGCCATCCTCAGAGATATGTCGACCCTTACAGTGGCTACTACAACTACCACATGAATCCTACGTGGAACGACTACTGGTGGTATTACCATGGACCTCACTGGGGTCATGTAAAGCATCCATCTTCTGACCCTTGGCCAAATTTCCATCGGTCAGCTTCAGACTGACATGGATGGAAGAGACGAGCCAAACTCGCAGGGCTCAGGTGGGTCACTGGTTTTTGGATATTACAACATGGCATTTCTTGATGGTTAAAACCTGTTCCTCATATTTCTTCCTCCTTCACAGCTCTACAGTGCAACAAGGATCTCCTGTATTTATCTAAAATAAAGTGTGAAAGCTCTCCTGCAGTTTCTCTCGTCTTCTGTCAGGTTGAAAGAATAGCTGAACACGTGGGTTGAGGTTGATCTTTAGAGCTAATGACATTCATGTGTTTGCAAGCAACAAGTCTATGCCCGAATGTTAAAAGCCACTGACTCTGCAGCTCATTAAATATTTGGGTGATGTACATTTTGAACTGCATCTAGAGATGTAACTGAGCCCAGTATTTCACAATTATCGCAGGCACTCCAATTTATGTAGAAACGCCATTCGGCCATCGAATGACACTTCAGTCGAATTCCTGCTCTGAGGAGTCTCAAGCTGGGATCGCTGCCTGCCAAGACACGAGATTAGCCACCCAAACTGTCAGTTTTGGCAGACTATTGAATAGTTTCTCACATCTTAAACTTGTTCTCCAGGACAGTTCTTGGCTGCAGAGGATGACTTGAATGTTTAACGTTTTCTCCCTGGTGAATAATGACAAAGATTTAGGTAAGATGATTCTTCTAAGGGTTAAATGAGACCTGTCCCCTCCTGAGCCTTTATCAAATGCAGTGGAGCACTGAGGTTTGGCAGTTGCTGAAAGAAGACGTTCTGCTGCACCCAGTCCAGATTGGCTGGCCTTGGCTAAATCCCTTTAAGCAAAATATGTAATTCTCAGATTATAGTATTCACCAACATGTTGCCTCTAGACGAGCCCCTAAAATTGAGGCTGTTAAGTTTGAGTGTGCCTGATTTGAAACCTAATGCTGCAGGCTCTCAAGCTTTTAACGCCTGCCACACCACTACTAGCATATCATTCAAGAACCTTGCGTTTTCCTCCAAATCAGAGTTGAAAATTAAAGTGACTGGATGTAGCGCAAAACTGTAAGTGGTAGTCTGCTCAGGTACCAGTTTCAGCCCTGTTAGAGGCAATGGACAAAATGCTGATTGGCCTAGAACTGGCAAGAGCTTGAGCAGCCCCACACTTGTGTACGGGTAAAAATGGAGGTTTTCGTTTAAAAAAATATATATATATATATTTCTGTCCACATGTAAACGCTAAAAATGAAATGTTGGCAAATCAGAAGCCTGGGACGGAAAGACTAAAGTACTTCCAAAAAGGTTTTGTTTTCTTGGAAAGGCAGACAAATTTGTTACTTTTCAAATGCCTTCAGCATTTCAAATGTTAAAAGTATTTTGGTTGGTGTAGACTTGCAACTAGGAATGAACAATATAAAGTAAATTTATTCAAAACCACGTTAGGATTGTGGAAGCAGCTGTGTTGACTGTAGAGGCCACGTCCGAAGTTCCCTCTGATGTCTCTGTCTTTCTAAACGGACGGACAGTAACTGTGTAAGAACTGCAGATAGTCAGATTAACAGCAACAGTATTTTGTCTCTATCTGCCATTGTAGAAATTCATCTCATGTAAACAATAACATGGCGCACAGCGTCGCGTCGAACAAAGCGCACACCTGTGACGTTCCGTGGCTAAATATCAGTTTTCCTCATCCACACGTAAATGCAAAAACTGAGTATTTGAGATTCTCCACCCTGGCAGGAGTTTTTAAAAATCTGTTTTCAGTTTTACGTGTGGACGAAAGGTGCAAATGCACAGAAAAATCTGCGTTTTCAAAAATACCTGTGTACATGTGGCCCTAGCCTTACTTCCAGTCATCCCTTGGATATGGACAAATATGATAATTTTTCATAGCTAGATGTACCGCCACTAGATGCCATGAGAGATGCCACATTTTCAGCAAACAGCTCTTTGGGAGTTCCATTATTGGTGAAAAATAAAGTTTTATGGCTGTCGTTGGAGTTTCTTTTATTTTTAAAGTTGTCTGTTGTGTAGATAAACACTGGCTCATGTGTGTTAGATGCCTGTTTTATGCTTGACTGATTTGTAGGTCAGTTTTACATTCCTGCAGCTGTGTCCATGGTGGGGGTTTGTTGGTTTTTCACACCAACCACACAAAGGAAAATCATCAGATCGGGTGAAGTTGCTTTTTTTAAAAATAAATAAATAAATAAAACATTTTCTGTTATCACATTTTGGTGAGTCTGTGTGAACTTGAGCTCACTGGGTTAAATCCCAGTGCATCTTATTCTTTAGCCAGAGTGGATCGTCTGCCGCCTCCTCCTGTCCCAGCATCCTTCTCTTTCACTCCACCCTCTGCTTGTCCTCCTTAATTACATCCATGAATCGTCTTTGAGGTCTTCCTCTTTATTGCCTGGCAGCTCTATTTTTGACATCCTTTGTCAGTGTATCCACTCTCCCTCCTCTGTACAAAAAAGAGGAAAAACAGTCTACTCTAGAGTTTGAATCGGATATTAAAATTTTATTCATCTTTCATCAACCTTTTGAACATAGCTTGAAAGCTTTTAGAGCTGTATTCAAACATGTCAAGCTGATTAACGCACACTGTAAATGTGTTCTGTCCCTTTACCATTTTCTGTTCAGTGTTCATTTATTTCTCTCATGATTTTCTCAGTAACGTCAAAATAAAAGCACCCAAGTTCACTGTGTGTATGTTGGAGCCTTTACATGTTTCTTTCCTGGCTTGGCCACAGATGACAGACCGACTCATCCTCCTTCAGCTGTTCATCAATTTCCACAGCCAAATCTGGTTGTGGTGATACTTTCAGGTTCTTGTAGTGTGTCGTTGACCAGGCAGGTAAATTAGCTTCAGTTTGTGGTTGAAGGCTAAACAGCACATTCAGTCATGTAGTGTTACCTCACCCCAAGAACAATTCAGCTATTTAATCTTAAAGTATCTCAAGTCTTTTTTTGTTTGCTTTCTTAACATAAAAAACATATATTTCATACCTCTGATAAATTTGCCTTTAATGTAGCCAATTTATTTTATGTTGGTGCTTGAGCTCAATGCAAGACTTTTATTATTAGTCTTTTATTTCATGTCAAAATGTGTATAAGCGCATAAAACTGTAAAAGGAAAACAATACAGCGCTGTACTGTAGAAGTTAAAATCAAACGTGTTCTTATTGTCCACATCCCCTCTGGGGCATAGATTCAATCATTCTAACGTCTCAGCCGGGCCAATCAAATCAAGTGTTTGCACCTGTGTGAGGCAGAGTTTGCTTCAGCCCAACTTTTCATTAGGAAGATAGAAAAGACACACACAGACAGCCGCGTGGCTTGGATGCTCGACTTTGAGTCTCGTGGGTGTTTAGTTGGAGGAGCTGGAAGTTGGGCTTTCTGGATCCACGGCTGACAGGGCAGCTGTGCTGCACAGTCCAGCTCAGCGCTCGCAGCTGTGAGGACACAGCGACTGCAGCAGTCATGGCTGCTGGCTTCCTAATTACAAGGTAACACATTAAATATGAAACCAAATGGGTTTTATTAGGTCCATTTTATTTACTTGAGTCTACCTTGACTGTGTATTTGTAACTGTTTAACAGATTATTGCTGGTCTGTTTGTTGAGTGAGGTGAACTACTCCTCAGCTTTTCCAAGAGGTAAGCCTGACTCACCTCCTGCTGTTTGGAAATGGGGCTAAAACTCTTCTTGTTAAAATACCTATGTTGCTATAACGTCCTGCAAGTCTAACCCTGTTAAGAATTGAGCCATTAGCAACAATTTACCAGCTCCCCTAATTAAAGTAAGACCAAACACTAGGCCTACGATCTGATACACAGCACCGACAAGTCAGGGTGGTGCTTTAAGCAAACTGTGCATTTGCTTTTGTTTGTATCTTGATGTAGTTTTCTGATTAGGAACAGGTTAAGTTAGCCTTTCAAATTAAAACTGTCTGGGTCCATGGCGTGGAGGATGGCTGCCATTCCTCCTCCGCCTTCATGGATTCAGACAGAAAGTTGGAGGTTGAGTAATTTAAATTAACAACTTTCCTGATGTAACCGCATTTCTGTGTGGCAGAATAAAGCAATATGTTGGTAATTAAGTCAGTGACTGACAGGAAAAAGAGGGAACTAATACAAAAATCCACATGTAACTGTTTTACTCTTTCCTTTATTGCAATATTGTTTTGCTATACAGCAAATGGAGAATCTATAAAGGGGACTCGAGGTGGCACTCTTCTTCAGTCCTGAAATGTAATTTTTACAATCTGAATCTAATAAATGATTAAATATTGTCAGTTAAATACCAGTGTAAGTAAAAAAAAAAATTAAAAGTAAGCTTTATTCACAGTCCTGTTTCAAGACCATGTACATTGAAACAGGACTGTGTAGAGTATATCTGCAGTATTTTAATGTTATGGAGTTACAGGGTCTAAATGCTCCACACTATTAAATATGAGTTGTCCTGTGCTTCATGTTACGCTGCTTAAAATGTCGCACAGGGAACTAAACAAGAACCTTGTTTAAGCCAACTGTCAGGCCGGTTTATTCTTTATGGCACATCTCTGCTTTGTTCTTGTTCCTCCCAGAGAAACCTCATTTGAAAAAACGGTAATGTAGCTCTGTACATTAGCAAACTGTTTCTGTGCTGCTAATCACCAATTATGAAGCTAAATAGATCAAATGAATTATGCTCTTATGATAGATTCCTGCAGAAATATGCTGTTGCGGTTCTAGAGGTGTTGGTTTGGAAAATATAGTCTAAATGTCCAAATTTTACAATGTAATTTGTAACTTAACCTTCACCTGTTTTCTTTCATAGCCAGACGTTTTGTGCAACCGGGAGTGTGGCAAAGTGAAGGAGAGGAAGAAGCCTACAACTATGAGAACTGTCATCCTTTCTACTACATCAGTGCCCAGGACAAAACATTGGAAAAGCAGGGACGTTTTAGGACGGCCCCTTTCCATATCTGTAAACAAAACCATCCCATAGTGTACCAAAAAGCCTCAAACCTCAAGCCTGCAAACCCCTTGCAGCCACGATCTAATGTTGCCACCAAATGGCCAAAGGGGACTGTTCTACCCCAGCCTCCACCACAGAAGAAATATCTGTCACCCAAACCCAAAAGCTATGAATTCAATCTGAAGATTCCCTTTCTTGATTTCCTGATAAGAAATGATGGAAAGAATTCTTCTAATAAAAAACATGATGGTGGAAATGATGCGCCTGCTGTCGCCAAACCAGGTTTTCAGGTCGGCTCATCTGTTTCCTCTTCATCTGTCTCTCAGTCTCTCAACACCCCAACCAATAGCCATTTTGTCCACTTGGCAAGTCAACACAAACCAGAGACTCCTGATGTTTTAAACCCAGAAAAACCCATTTCAGCCACGACTGAATCAAGGCAACCCTCCTTAAACTCTGCTAGTATGGGCCAGACGGAAACACAGGAGCAGCCATTTCCCATGAAACCACAATCAAGTTCAACTTTATTTGGATCAGGAAGACCTTTCGTAAGTTTTGCAACACCCCAGCAAGAGACTCGTGAGCCAGTTCATATTAAGCCAAGTTCATCTCTGGCTGAGTCAACAAGGCCTCTCTTAAGCTTTGGAACAACACAGCAGCAGACTTATAAGCCAGTTCGTGTTAAACCTCCAAGTTCAACCATGACTGAATTAGAACAGCCTTTCCTAAACCTTGGAACAACGCAACACGACGGTTATAAGCCATATCCTATTAAACCACAATCAAACTCTGCCATGATTGGATTAAGGCAGCCCTTCTTAAACTCTGCTGGTACAGAAGCACAGGAGAAACCTTATGAGCCATATCCCATCAAACTACAGTCAAGCTTGACCCTGATTGAACCAGCGAGGCCTTTACGTTTTACATCACCACAGCATCACATTCATGAGCCAGTTCGTGCTAAACCACCAAGTTCAAATCAGGTTGGAGCAGAACGGCCTTTTGTGAACTTTGGAACAACACAACACCAGAGTTATGGGCCATATCTAGTTAAACCGCAATCGAAGTCTGCCATAATTGAATTAAGGCAACCCTTCTTAAACTCTGCTGGTGCAGATGCACAGGAGAAGCTTTATAAGCCATATCCCATCAAACTACAGTCCAGTTCAACCCTGGTGGAACCAGTGAGGCCTTTACGTTTTGCATCACCCCAGCAAAACATTCATGAGCCAGTTGGTGTTGAACCACAAAGTTCAAAGCATATTGGAACAGAACGGCCTCTTGTGAACTTTGGAACAACACAGACTCGTGAGCAACATCCCATTAAACCACAATCGAATTCAAACCTCATTGCATCAGCAAGGCCTTTCCTAAGTTTTGCAGCACCACAGCAAGAGACCTATGAGCCATTTCACATTAAACCACAAAGTTCAACCCCAGCTGTATCAGAGCGACCTTACTTTGGAACAACACAACAGCAAACTTATGAGCCATATCCAATTAAACCACAATCTAGTTCAACCATGGCTGCATCTGCAAAGCCTTTCCTGAACTTCGAAGCACCACAGCAGCAAACTTATGAGCCATTTCATATTAAACCACAATCAAGCTCAGATCGGTTAACCTCAGACTGGCCTGCCTTAAACTATGCTGCTATTGGACACACAAGCACAACAGGCTTATGAGCCATTTTACTTTAAGTCGCGGTCAACTTCAACCCACTTTGGATCAGAACGGCCTGCCTTTAACTCTGCAGCTGCACGTCAGAATTATGAGCCGGTTCATGCCAAAATGCAATCTTATGACAGTTGGCCATATTTTCAGGACAGGTCAACGATGTCTTCAAGCCAAATGAGAGTCCAAAGACAGGACTCTGCCAGAAACAAACTCAACAGGAAACGCGACTACCCAAAACTTTTTGATGTGGCTGGAAGTGATGGTCATAACAAACTTGCTTATGTTTAACAAGTTCAGGCTCAAGGTTTTAAATCTGCAATTGTCAAAAACTATCAGAGTTCACAGTTCATCCCTTTGCTTCCAAGACTTCTTTTTTCATATCCAGCCACCAGCCCTTCTGATTTCATCTCCAGTGACAACCAGGATACAAACCCAAACAATCTGGAACCATTTTCATCCTCACCTCTGTTCATCCTACCTAACAACACTTTGATAACAGCCTTGTCAGTTCAATTGGAAGCAAAAAGTACCTGAGGTTTAGGTGAGTCATTACATTCTTGTGATTTGAATACATCTGTGAAAACTGGTATAATGTCTGAATCTCTTGTCTTACAGTTGTGCACTTGAACTGAAGAGATGTTAATCTACTGTCTACTCATGTGAAAGTGCCCATGCTCCATCCTGTTTAAGTCTTTTGATTGGCTGCTCTCAAGACGAAACAGTGACAGTCATGTCTGTGCACTATAAACTGAAAGCAGGTGACAGCAAAGGCTAGAAATATCTAGCTACTTCAACCTGTTAAGCTGACCGAAGTCTTTTTGTTTTTGTTTAATCCATACAAAAAACATGAAGTATAGATTTAGCTCTTGCAGAGCGCAGCTTTCCATGTTTGTGTGGCCAGGTGCACTGATTTTTAGTCTAATCTTGTGCCCTGCAGCTTCACAGCAAAAAGCCTCCAGGATGTCATGGGATTTCACAGAGCTGCAGCCGAGCACAGTGACCTGTAGTTTCTTCAAACTGTATAAATGCAGAGGTGCAAAGAGGCTGTTTTCATGTTTTTGTTGGAGGTTTGAGATTAAAACGCTGACAAGTTGTTGCACTTGTTGCATTGGCACTGCATCACTACTAGGACATTAATCTAAGATAAGGTGAAGGAGGCACATCTGGAAACCTCAGGGTTTCCATGGTTGAAGTCAGTCTACAGGCCACAGAGAAGCAGTCTGGCTGGCCAAGAGTTTACCACCATAAAGCATTTTCAGTTAAAGGTAGAGGAATGTCTTGTGTTGTTTCTTGCTTTTTTGTGTTTTAGTTCCTGCATTAGCTCAAACTTTAATTACCAACAGATCCAACAGAGTTGTAAATGGTGTGATTGGGAACATAGTCAGTTACGTGATTGTTACATGGTTTATAACCCTTAGGTCACCATCTTGTAGTCTGACCTGTGGGTTAACCACTTGTGGAAGAGTGGCACTGATGGAAAATAAACGATGTTCACTATCTATAGAAAACTAGTCACTCATCCTTTTTGGTCTCTATAATTGTATTGAGTGTAAAGCAATCCAATAACATTTCATGGTTATATACTGGCCAACTCTGAAACATTTCTTGCTTTTAGTTTTTCTAAAAGTCACTGAATGGTGGATCTTACCCTTTGTATGAAAAGAAAAAAATTAGTCTCCAAATCTAAGCTCTTCGAGGCTTCCCCCCCCCCCCCCTCCCCCAACAATACATCCCTAAACCTTCTTTTTTGTTTTCCCCTAATGCAAAACTGGTTTATGAAGTTATCTGCTCACCACTGGCATTTTTTAATTGTTAGCATAAATAATGAGTCTGTCTAGATTCCCGTTATTCCACCACTGGCGAGTCTGGTGGGGCCCTGAGCGGCCCTTCTACCCGTGTTATTATCTAAGAAATATTCAAACACCAGTGTGTTTTAAACAGTGTAAAGACAAATTGATCACTCTGCTCAGTCATGTCTCGGTCAGAGTTGGACACACTAGACTGCTCTGCTAGCTAAATTAACAAATATAAAATGTTAAAGCAAAAGAGAGAAATATTGTGGTACTGGCTGAAGTTGTTATTCAAATGTCTCCTCCGCAGATGAGGCTAGCCAAGCAGCATTTAGTTATATTTAACCTTTATTTGCTTTACTCACCACGGTCTTGTTTTTTCACACTCCCAGAAAAGTAACTCTCCACTTTCATGGAGTGGCTTTTGTTGTCTTTAGCTTTGTCTAAAGAGAATCATGTGTGATACTTGTAGTGGGAATCTGGTGGCGCCTCCGTGGGAGCTCAGGTTTTTCCCACTGCCACTGCAAACCTTGCACACTGCCTCCATTACTCTCATAGTTTACTTTTCCCTTCTAATTGCAAGTTGGTAACTTTGCGTTTTTGAAACCTAATCTGCTCGTACCCAGTATTTTTATCACAGCGGGGTATAGTGTTGAGGTACCCGTTTAGTTTTTATTAGCTCCAGTGAAAACAGTTCAGAGTCTTTGTCAAATCTCAAGGCTCTTCACAAATGTGTCGTCTATTGTATTCAACGATGAGAACTCACTGGAGTAGTTGAAGGAGCAAGTACATCGAGAGGGAGAGGAGGAAGAGAAGGACTCCAACGTAGCTCTTGAAGTGAGGTTACTGCTGCTTAGTGTGCTGGAAAATCACCACCCATTCACACACATTTTAATTGCCCTTTTAAAATTGGCTGACTGTAGATTATTAAAGGTCTTTACTTTTTCACTGGGTTCAAGAGTTGAGGACATGAATATCATATTTACATCCATATCACCAAACCATATAAATTTTCCATTGAAAATAACTAGTCTGAGTACTTGTACAGTTTGCCAGTGTAACGAACACATCTGGCACGAATGAGAGGAAGCCGGTGTAACATTGAAGCTGCAAGGAGCAGGGGGGGAGGACTTTAAATACCTGGAGTCAAACGTCCAAAACAACAGACGGAGCAGAGAGAAGAGGATAGAGCAGGCAGGGCGACATGGGTGAAGACGAGTGTCAGGGGTGTTTTGTGATGGACTCAGAGCAGTGAGAGTAAAAGGAAAGGTTTTTAAGCTGAGAGCGGCTCTGAGAAGTTAAGATGTTCATTGGGAATGAACAGAATTAGAAATGAGTCCTCGGAGGGAAGCTCGGAGTCCGAGAGGTCAGAAATGGTTTGCACACGTGCAGCCGAGGGAGAGTGAATATACCAGATAAATGCTTCCAGACGTAGTGAAGGAGGACATGCATGTTGACGTTACAGAGGAGGATGCTGGGATAGGATGAGACTGAGGAAGATGATCCACTGTGCCCCCCCCCCAAAAAAAAAGAGGGAAAAAAAACGAGCAGATAAGGAAAAGTTTGTTGCTGCAGTATCGCGTTTGAAATTCATTACAGTTGTGGGTTTTCCTCAGTGGAATCAATGTAACTATTTCCTGATGAGATCATCATTACAGGAAGCGATGGTTTTGTTCCCTCAGTAAGGAATCAAATGATAAAACATAATGATCAACTACATCGAAATGTCAATGAGGGCAGAACAAAAAGCAGAGTCATGTTTATCTGTCCAGTTTACCTTGGTGCAGTCTATGCCGGGGTGTCAAACATAAGTCCTGGGCCCACAGTTACCCTGGCAAAAGCTCAAATATGGCCATAGTTTTGTAGTTTTTCCTATTGAGATAGATGCTTACTTCACCACTGACACAACACCTAATAACAGAGTTAGACAAAGTTGCTTTTCCTACTGTCGATCACATAAATGTAATTTTTGTTTTTCATTTTTGTTTGGAAATTAAAAGACTTTTTGTGAATTAATGAAAACTTCATATTCTGTAATTAAAAATGGCTCTTACCATGAAAAAGCATAGAAAGTGTTTGTCTGACTGGGTGAATGAGGCAAGTTGTGTAAAGCACTCTGGGTGCTCGCAGTGGGAAAAACTCTATATAAGAACCATTTACCAGTTACAAGAACAGGCTGGACAATGAGCTAGCAGAACTTTTATTTGACATATTTAATTTTACTCGGTTGTCTCACAGTGTAAAATGAGTTTGGTTATACCTGATCTATGGGAAGCATGGCAGAGCTTAAAATGCAAAATCCAATAGCACTGTTGTAAATGACAAAATGAAGGTTAATTAAGTAGACGGTACAGATTTAAACAACATGTGGGGCTTAGTTACATTTTACCTGAACACTGAAGGACACTGCAGTTATCTCAGATTTATATAAGAGAAAACGGATAAACCCAGAGCTTTAAAACCTGCTGGGTGTCTCTGTTTGTTTTTCTGCTTCAAGGTCAGTTCTTTAAACTGCAGAGCTGCAGCTGCCGAACACACAGCCCAGCTTAATTATTTAACTGTTTTAAAAAGGAAGAAGTAATTCAGAGTAATGAGCCTCCACCTTTAAGTGGAAATGGGTCTTTTCTTTGTTATCAAGGTGTCGTAACAGCACTGTTCAGCTGCAGGCAAAAACTAAGAAGTTTAATTCTGGAAAAATAACCAGGTGACATCACAGTGATGTCACCAAAGTTACTCTTACAGCCCAAAACTTACAAACAGTAAGATTCTGGATTTTGTGTTACGGTGGTCCGGAAAAAGACAGAATTAGTCCTGTGAGCAAAATAAATGTTTCAGGTGCTCTGCAGCTCGAATATGACAAGAACGTCTGAGGAAGCTGAGTGACGATGTTATACTGTGACAAAGCAGCGTGAAGAGATGCAACAAGTTACATCTGTCAGATTAACAACCGTTTGTATCTTTCCATGAATGCATGTAGTATGAGTTAATCTGGTTTATTCCCAACATGATGCAGAGTACGAAAAGAATACATCAGTGAAGTGTTAATACTGTTGTTTCTGAGGACGGGTTGGTTACGTTCTAGGTTTACAGTAGACTAAAAGTTCTATTTTGTCACAGTCTTGGGTGTATGTTTGTTCCATAATGTTTCCATGTGGTGGTCGATAAAGTGACGATTCTGCTGTAATCACAGATTGGCACGCTCACGTTAAATTGTTCTAAAGCAAAGACTAAAAGCATCTGATCTTCATTAAATTTGAAAAGATGAAACGTATCAAAATTGAGTATTTTGGTCTAAATAACCCAACATGTGATGTCCACATATGTGGACGCCAGGTGCTAGGAGGTTAAAGGATCTCACACAACAAACTAAATATTTGAAGATCATTTTTAGTTGTCATGCATCATGCAGTAGTAAATATGACACGAATCTCTGTGAAAGTTTGCATTAATCATAGCTTGTATGGAGAGCCTGTGACTTTTAAACAGTGAGGTTGGCATTTGTTACTGTGGGGGAACAATGACGTTCTTCCAGAACGTATTCATAGGGGTGGCCACATCGAGGCACCTGAAAATATTGGGGTGGTACACCAAAAACAGAACAACGGAGGGGAGGGGGTGGCGACGGGAAATTGTGAGGGGCCGACAAAGTGGCACAGTGTGAATGACAACAATTCTATATGAATAAGTAAATGTTTCAGCTCATTGTAGGGTGTCTTCCTCGGTCTTCTGCTCACGTTTACTAAAATTATTGCCAACATGGGGCAGTCTTGCCAGGGGAGGCCCAGTATTTGGGTGGTGGCCAGTGCCCTCCTGACCCCCCCTTCCCATTTTGGGTGATACACGTTTGTGGTGCTGTGTAGCGTCGCCAAGAAGAACTTTCACAGTGATGCATGTTGTCTGTAACTCTGTCTTTTAGCCAAGATATCCAAACAAAATATCCAGTCGATTTTTTTTCTTCTAAATTTACATTTTCAGACATTAGATATTTGTCTTGATTGTTAGGGTATAATTAACACCATATTGGTTTGATGCAGAGAAACAAGTGAAACTGAAATGCGACTGGAAAAGTCATGATAATTTCAAACTCTTTCGTGCTCTGTTGACTGATTTAACTGTCGAGGATATGCTGCAGGTGCGTGTTTGTCTGTAATGATGCTGTTTTACATCTTAACCAAAAGTCCCCTCAGGAGATTACCAACTTCTCGAAACTGAGCAATAAGAAGTACACACAGGCTATAAAATCCCCCACTTCTGGTAACTCCTCCATTATTTGAGCTTTTGGAAAACTTTGAAGTGTTGAAGGGCGTTGCACATGTGACTCCATAAAAATGGAACCGTGTGTTAACTGGCCCTGCTCAGTCCAAAAGGGGCTGACCCTGTCATGTGAAATTGTCCGTGTCAGGCTTAATAGGTTGTGTAATAAGTTGTTTAATTGTTCACTGAACTAGCCCTCTACCACGGCTTCAGGCTCTTCCTGCATAGTTAAGGTCAAATATAAAACCAACCCCTCTTTCATCTTGAGCTACAGCATGGCTCCTGCACAGTCACTGACTCAGACGCTGGGATAGGACGCTCAACGTCGGCTCCCTTTCTTCACTAGACTCGTGGTCACAGACATTTTTAAAAAGATAATTCTGCTGTTCTGAATGGAGTTACAAGGAGCCAATGATGGCATTCGCCTGGCTGCCTACAGAGCCAATCTCCCTGCGTCAG